ATTTCATAACATTTCTGATAAAATTGCTCTAATTGTTTCCACACATGCTTCAATATACAATAATAGATCGAGATTAATTTAATCAATCAACTCATTTACTCCCATTGTTATCAATGAAAATGAATTGTTGGGGTATCTCTTGATCCATTCTTCCGGATCCCTCATAAATGTAGGAAAAATTGGCTGTCAAAGATATATATAACGAAATTAGCGATTGCCTAATTACAGCATCAATCAGATCTCATTCACCTCTCGATTCCCGTTGTTAGACCCTTCGATAAATCTTCGGATAAATATTACAGAATACCCAACACACAGAGAAAATTCAGTGGAAGAGAAATCATAATTTTCATAATTTTAGATGAAGAAATTTACATGAGTATGTACGAACGAAAAAATTTCATAGAAAAACCTAGTGACATGGCCAAAAAAATCTACTGGATTTTCATTAATCTTCTATTGAAAGTTTTATGATTTTTTCGCCAAATCTATTGAAAAAAATATTTCACAAAAAAAAAAATTTAGAGAATTTTATTCTTCGATACAACTTATTCTATTGAAGTATTTGTTCAGAACAGTAATGGGGATAAAGTGGTTGTTTTTGTACACGAGAATTCATTGTACGCACGCTTGTGAATTTTACGCTCGCCGTGCGAAAAACAATGGCGTCACGCACACTGAACCGTTTCGAAAAGTGCACTTTGGAGGCACGCATCACAAAAACACCTTCACGCACTCGTATCATAATATATTATTTTTTTACTATTTCAATATTCAACTACTCACAGCAATCATGTCTGAAATTTCCGATACACTTTTTGGAAATTTTGATTGAATTTAATTACCACTGAAATTTCAAAGCATTTCGTAATTGAACATTCAGAATTTTGTAGAAAAATCAAAGAGGCCTGTACATTTCAGTTCCATTTTTCTCTGAAAATAAATAGAAAATCAGAAAATTACGTAAAGTATATTCTCGAATTTTCAGGAGATTTCAGATTTCACTGAAAATTCAATGTAATTTGGCACTGAATATTCATATTAGATTAGAAATTCAAATAAATTAAGAAATTTTCGTCTTTATGCTGCTTAAAAATCTTTATGCTGCTTAAAAATTTTACTGAATTTTCAGTGAAACCTGAAATTTAATGGTTTTCTCCTCCAAATCGCATTCAGTGTCACTGTCCTAAAAATTAGTAGTCAATTGAAATTTCATGATTTTTTTCCCTAAATCACACTCCGTGTCACTTTCCTAAAAATTAGTAGTCAACTTCCCACGAAATTTCATTTTTTTTAATTCCAACAATGAGCAAAAGCAACGGGTAAACCGAAAGAAATTAATTTTCCTATAATTCAATTGAAATAATTCAGAAAAATTGATAACATTGAAAAAAAACTTCAAATGGAACGAAAAATGCAGTGCGTGTAGCATTTTACTGCCAAAAACGCGAAAAACTACATTTTCGTTTGAATGACGGGGTAAAATGGGTTGACCCCAAAATTTTCCACATTTTTTCAGGTACCCCATGCTATATCAAGTCGCTCGATAGCTATTTCCATCAACCGAAGACTTTCAAATTTCACCTTGATACCTCCTTAAGGGGGCGAAAAAAAGTGAAAAAAAAACATAAAAAATTGATGTCAAGGAATTCCCATAGAAAACATCTCAACAGCAGACGTACAGAAACATCACATTCTACCCTATTTCTACAAAATAGATCCTGGACATTTTCTCGAAATACAAATACGCAGTAAAGCTCCGGATTTTTTCTCTGAAAATTGCTGAAAAACTAACGGAATTTTCCAGCGGATCCACTACTAGGTTTTCCCATGAATTTCTTTCGTGCGTTCGCCTATCAATAAAGCACTCGCGGTGTATTGTTAGCGTGATCGTTATACAGCGGAGGCAATCGCCCTGGCAATGATCGCACACTCACGTTTCTATCAGACCTCTTGTAAACTCTGTCGAAAGTGTCGAGTGAAAAAAGGATGCTTGATCGTATGAGAAAAAGAGATTTAAAGGTACAGACGAGTTACACACACACTGCTGAGTGGATCAAGGCTGTACCGAGGCTGCTTCTCATATTTATCTTGTAAATAAATCAGCCGCACATCTACTCATGCTCTCGTCATATAATCGATGGAACCTTGAATATTTTTTGACATCTCTTATGAGAGATGGAATCGTTAATTAAATCTCCGAAAAAATATGAGTATTGCGCAGAGAATGTATTCATTCATGTATTCAGTTTTTTTTTCCTCTAATTTATTGTCTTTCTCCTCGGATTTCAGGTCTAAAAATACTTGGAAGCTGCAGTGGCTTGCTCACGCGGAGATTTACTACTTGATTTCATTTTTAATGTACAGCGTACAACACGTATGAAAAAACCGTATAGAAATCATCCGAGGACCCCCGAGTGCAGATGTTCGACTCACTTCGGCGAGCTGAACGTTGCCGATGTCGCGCGAGCACGTACGAGGATAGGAAGAATGGCAAAAATTCAAGTGCTAGTACTAGAAAAATTCTCCAACTGCACAATAAAATTTCTAATGTTACCAAGAATTAATGAAGTTTTTCCCACAATTTTCTACGGAATTCCCCACAAAATTGACACACCAAAATTGGGAAATTTTCTAGTGCCAGCTCTAGAATTTTTCTCGTGCTTCTTTGCAAAAATTGATTAACTTACAGCAAAATTTCCGTGCTGATCTAGAATTTTTATTCTTATTTCAATTAAAATATGGGAGTTCGGCAGTTTGAGCCTCGTTTCTGGTGCTGAGCACTAGAATTTTTCCCCGACTTTTCTCTCCGTGTTCTTCGCGTCGTAAGTGAATTCTGATAAAAATGTAAAACTTCATTCTTTGAGTAGATTCTTCCATCCTGAAAGTCCCTAGATTTTCGGACACTTTTACCAAATTTATATTTTTCGACCTAGAATTTTTCATTGTTTTTCTGGAGATTTTTCAGTTCAATGAACGGAATAGTATATTTCTAACCTAGGGAGGGAAAATAAAGGATCTTCAGCCGCCAGTGCAATTATCAGCCGAGCCGAAGGCGAGTTTGGTAAGCACGCGGCTGAGGGTCCTTTATTTTACTTCCCGTGGTTAGAACGGGATTTTCCGTCTCGGCGTAGGCGCAAAGTCAGAGTTCGCGGGAGGGAAATGTAACTTTGCGCCCGCCGGGACGGAATAAATATTTTCCTCAGATTTCCAGAATGAAAAGGTCTATTTGTAGCCCAAAATGTCACCGTGTGATTTTTTTTCGTTCCAATAAGTCTCGTTTACAATAAAAAAAAATAAAGAAATCTCGGTTGCAATTTTTTTCCCCAGTAGAAATATGAAAGAAAAAAAACCCAAAACTGCAGAGCCCATTTGTTACTCAATTCGACATTATTTCTCTGTACTCGCCAAAAGTAGCACGACGCCGACCACGCAAGCCCAAAAAAGAATGAGTATCTCGTTCTCGTGGATGTTACGATGATAAATCGGTATTATGACTGTTGATGTCTTATTAACCACTCGCATAATGCCCAGCGTATTCTCTCCGCTCTGGTAAACTCAGGGAATTACTCCTCGCGTGAGTATTCGTTTTCGTTGACCCCGCAATAAACGAGAAAAAGTGCTACGTAATTACACACGAGCTCGTACAACTCATCGGTATAACTGAACAACTATTCTTAGAGTGCACTGAGAGAAAAAATTAGCTCTGCCGAAAAACTATATGTTCCACGTGCGAATATTCGATGCATCGTTAGAAAAAATAAATAAATTTTCTGAACAGGTGACTAGTAATTTTGAGGACAGTGCCACTGAATGCAATTTAAGGGGAAACAAATAATGAAATTTTGGAATTCACTGAAAGTTCAATGAAAACATCAATATTCAGTGCCAAATTACCCCGAATTTTCCAATAATTGAAAATTCAAAAATATGTTTATCGAAGTTTTCTGTTTTTTTAAATTAATTTTCAGGTAATAATTGAACTAAAATTCACAGTTCTCATTCATTTTTCCCTGAAATACCGAATGTTCAATGACGAAATTATTTGAAATTTCACTGGAACTTAAATGTGATGAAAAATTTCCGAGTGGAGTGGAACAGCTTTACTTGAGGAAAATTCACCAACTTAACATAGAAAAATTTAATATCTTTCTCGAAAATTAAATTTTTGTCATTATCATAAAAAATATCCCTAGATAAATTCGAACTGTTGGCAGAAAGAAATATAATCTATTGTCCGACAATCATTTGATCTGAGAGAACTCTATAGATTTACACAATAGAAAGAATACATTGACGAGGAAAGAATATGTTTTTCCCACAAAAAAATTGTCCCCTCGAAATCATTTAGTTTTGCCAATAATACATTTTTCGGGAAGAAAATTGTAATTTCCTCTTGAAATTACAGTTTATTCCACGGAAATTATAATTATGATATAAATGTCTCACGAGAACAATTACTACCACAAAAATTATCATGTTCCGGTGGAAACTTTTTTTTTGTACACAAGTAAATTGATAACCATGGCAAAAGATCTCCTCAGGGAAACGTAATTTTTCGTTAGAACTAATGTTTTCTCTCATTGTGAGAAAGAGAGAATTGAGTGATTGACACAATGTCTCCAAGCAAAATTGTATAATCGATTGCCCGTCAATTATTATTCGAATAACCCTAATCACTCCCTGGAGTAGTGAAATTGCGACTGAAGTGCCCTCGGAAATCTTTCATTCCCATCCGAGGTCTCAAGGCCAACAAGTGGGACTGCCGCCTCTGTGCATGAGGGTCACAATCCCAAAACTCATTTTCTCACAATAGGGGCCTCGACCGAAACTGGTACATATGTTAATGTCGAATGTTGAAGTACGAGGTCCACCGGCTTGGGGATATATAAGCTGGAACGAAAATCGAGGAGAGCATCAAACAGTCAGCTGCACTGAAGATCGAAGGATCACCAGTGAACGTCATTTTCGTGGTTAAAAAATCAGTAAGAAATTTCAAAATGTTCAAATTCGTGGTTTTCACTGCTCTCGTGGCTTGCGCCATCGCCGCTCCAGCCCCAGGAGGTTTGCTGGTGCCAGCCGCTCCAGTGGTAGCGGCGGCTCCGGTGGTTCCAGTGGCAACCAGTTACGCCAGCAGCTACTCCAACACCTACCGTGCACCTGTGGTCAAGGCCGCCCCAATTGTTCACGCTGCTCCAGTTGTCCATGCCGCTCCAGTCCTCGTTAAGACGGCGCCAGTGGTCCACGCCGCCCCCGTTGTCGCAGCTCCAGCCCTCGTCAAGGCGCCGCTGATCCACACCCCCGTGTACCACGCTCCAGCCATCGTCAAAACTCCACTCATCCACACCCCGGTCCTCGCTGCTCCAACTGTCATCAAAACTGTGCAACCTGTTGCCCTCGTCCACTGAAGACATGTCTTGAGAGGATTATTTATTTATTGAGGGGATTTGACGGATTTCATGGAACAATATGTGTCAGCGAATAAAAATCATTTTTATCCATTCATTGTTTTTATTTTTACGAGGAGGGAGAAGAGGGTGTATCGAATTATCAGAACGAATTCTGGAAGATTATCAAGGATCTATCGCCATTTATAAAAGGAATCCGCTTGATGACGTTAACTTATTGTTATGAATAATTTTTAAGATAATAATATTGATTTTGTAGCTTTCAGACAAATCTTGGTTGTTCGCAGAATCTCGACCTAAATGACAGGAAGTTCCAAGAATTGACTACTGATTCAATACATCATTTCATACATTATTTTGAAGAATCGTTAAATATATTTGGTAAATTATGAGAATAGCCCCCCTCATGTGATAAGCGCCATAGTTCTCGTTAAGACTGTGCTAGTAGACCACGCCGCCCCCGTTGTTGCTACTTCAGCCATCGACAAAACTCCACGCATCCAGACCCCGGTCTTTGCTGCTCCCACTGTAATCAAAACTGTTCAACCTGTCGCCGTCGTCCACTGAAGACACGTCGTTTGGCGAATTCGGAGAGTAGATTTCCGTAGATCCCGGTAGCTTAGTTAGAAGAGTGCCCGAGGGTCTCTTCTCGAGTGGATCGGAAATCTTTCCGAGCCCGGAAGTGGCTCCGCAGACGGAACGCCTATGAGGCATTCCACGCTATTTCAATGAAAAAAATTTTTTTTTTTATTTTGATATAAATTGAGTATGTTATATGTGATTGTAGGAAGATTTACGGAACTGTCACGTAATTTTTACCTAAATCTCCTGTAAAAAATTACGATACCGTCACTTAAATTTCCTGAATCGATTCCATAATCGGTGAGCGAACTGTGAGTTCCGTAATTTTTACTGAACATTTCTCTCCGTGCGTGTTGAAATAAATGATTTTCCCACTAATCAGAGCAAACGAAAAAAAAATCATCCGCATCCGTCGTCATCCCCACCTTTTCGCTGGATACGGAGAGAAAAACACTACAACAAATTTTCGCCCCACGATGATTTGAGTTTTCCACGAATTTTTCCCCCACCTTTTTCTCCATTTACAACTGAAAACCGAACGGGGTACTTCAACTTCCCTCTGTGAGTTATTCTTTGTTATTCATCGCTTCACACCTTGGCCTAACCAACAGGTATTCGATCATAAAAAATAATCATTCGATCGCTCTGGATTTGAATACACCATCGGCCTCCCGATTTATTTTTTACGTAATTAGCCGCCCCTGAGCCTTTGTAACACAGCAGTAATAGCAAGGTCATGATCACCAGAGTTACCCAACACTTCCCATATACACAATTTATCGGCATCACCTACATAAATCCATTCATTTTAATCCAAAAATCATGCAAATGAGACAGGAATTATTTTCAAGGCGATACCTGTGCCATTGACATACGAAAATGATACAATTCTCATTATAGAACGCCGATAACATCATGTTCCACATGGGGCTCTCAGTTGAGGACAATTGGAACGTATTTCGACGGTTTCGCTCTAATTTTACTGCGTCAGACATGACCTTCAATTATGCAAGTCGTTCTGGGCGGACCTTTCTACCAACAGACGTACTTTTGTTATTGATGAGTCCCTTTCTTACTATTGTTTACGCTTCGAGAGTGAGAGTCACTCGGAGAATTGATATAAATTTGTGATTGTGAGATGTGCTTAATCATCGCTTAATTTTCAATCATTGTCAGGAGGGAAAAGGCACCGATGGGAGATTGAGTAATAAGGTTGTAATTCTGACTTATAACAGGAGTGTTCAAGGACAAATGGGTAGATGGAGACGCAGGAAAAGAAACTGAACAAATTTTGTTGACATTTGCAAATGCATTCGAGGATATTCAGATATTTTAACTATTTTTTAACTAGAATTGTTCATCCCCGGTGTATTGCGATTTTTCCGTGGTAAATATGCATAAAGACTCCACCACTCGGGATTTTTTGCAAATTATTTGCAATCATTGTTGGAAAGACAAAGTTTTTCATGTCTCCATAAGTTTTTCAAAAAATCTTAATTAGAATTCCAGAGGTTTTAAGTTATGAGTTCAAGTCATTAACTGAAAGTCTGAAAGTGTTAACGAGGGACTTTCAACTCTCAACTTGAGATTGTAAGTTTCAAATTTGTCAACAGAAACACGAAATCACCGTGAACCCAAAGAGAAAGACTACATGGGCCACCTAGGGCGGTAAAACGGGATTTTCATATAAACGGAATTAGGTATATATGTACATAGAACCACGCAGAAAATTAATTAAATGAAGAAAAACAATTGAGACAGAAGTAATTTTCTCATGATTATTTTATTCGGAATTTGCCATTTTAGAGATACAATTGAATCGGTTTTTAACCAATGAAAGGTTTTAGTGAACGTAGGCAAGTGGGCTGGCGTGTGCAGCATAGGCAAGTGGCACTGGGTGTGCAGAGTATGCGACTGGTGCAGCGTGGTAGGAAACAGCTGGTGCAGCGTGGTAGGAAACAGCGGGTGCAGCGACGTAGCTCTTGTGGTCAACTTTGTAGGTGCTAGCGTGGCTGGTAGCAACGGGCACGCTGTGAACGCTGTGGACCACGGGAGCCGCTACAATTGGTGCAGAGTGGACCAGAACTGGTGATGCCGAGTAACCTGGCTTTGGTGCAGCGCAGGCGACAGCGACGAGAGCGAAGAGTACCACAAACTTGTACATGATGATTGTTTAGATTGTTTTCTTCAACTTTGTTGATGAGGCTTATTTGTCGCTGTTGCAGGACTTGTGATTCAAACCATGAAATTCAGTCAAATTTATACTCAATGGATCGTTCCCCTACTTCTTCCGTGGCCCCCCGAAAAATTGAAGAATCATGGTTTAGTCTTTCTCTTTTAGTCTCCCGATGATTTCGTGTTTCCGTTGACATGACCAAGGACTCGGGGCGTCATTTAGTTGACCCACGATGTCTACATGACAAGCGAAAAAAACGTTTGCACAGATGACCGGTAAGCACTTATGATTGCGAGATATCCACTTGAGAATAATATGTACAAAAACTCGGTAAATAAAGCGGAAAAAAATCATGTCCACGTATTGAGGTGGATGTCGAAATTTTGGGCAATTCTTCATCGTGTGATATCAATACTACGAGCATTTACATCTGGGTCATTCATATTTTACGTTTCTCCGTGTAATTTGAGGATTATTCAACGTGGGAAACTGCATATTGAAATTATGGGATGGCCGTACAAATGAGAAATTGCGAAAAAATGCGATAAATTGAATTATTTGATTGAAGGAAAATTAATGTTAGAGTGTTAATAATAAGGGTTTTTAATTTTCACAGTGACAGGAAAAGAATGATGGGGATGAACATTATCATGGAGAGTAATTTCTATTGAAAATAAAATTGAATTATTCATTTTTTTTATTTTTTCAACAGAAATTAGTCTAAAACAGGAAATTTGCAATAAAAGTCCAATGTAATTTTAACACAATTGCGTATCCTGTTCAATGCGGATTCAATTGCGGATCCTAATATCTTTCTTCAGATTACCTTTTGTTTTTTCATTATCAGTCGAATGTTCTAGCCGATGTAAGATCTCACACACAGAAACATTCAATACAAAAATCTAGCTTCGCTACGAAATTTGTCTAGATTTGTATTGAATTCCTATCACGAAGTCTTAAATTTTCTTTCCCATAGAAATTCTCAATTCAAATTAGGTTTCATCAATAATTATTAATACCATCTCCGATTTAAGACTTGAATTCCACACCTCTGTTCTCGTGGAGAATGCTAACAGCCGATGTTCTCTTCTGTAGAGTACAAGTTTACTTTTGAAGATTTGAAGGCGTATATGAAATTAAAATAATTAAAGTGTTCCGGTTTTGAGCTCGGGTGGGTATCGATGCCCACGGCCTTTAACTGGAGAGCACTCGCCCGGATAGCGAAAGATCGTGGGCTTCGATGGCCACCCGAGTTCAAATCCCTAGTACTTGAATTTGTTTCGCTCCATTAAAATCTACTTATTTTTCTGTGTTAAATATTCTTTCCATGAGAGCCCTTACGTGAAAGGAATTACGTGCAGCATTATTTTTTCAGCTGATGATAGAATTTAATTCGGGAGAATGTCAAAATATTCTTAATTGCAATATAATTATGCCCTTTTTAACGAAAATGATTTTTTATTCATTTTTCAACGGCCCATTTTCAAAATTTTATGATATTCCCAAATAGTTCATTCATATTTCACATTTTCATGTATGAGACAAATTTATTGAAAAAGCTCGGGAATTCGTTGGAAAATTCTATTGGTATTGTAAAAAATTTCCATTCTTTTTTTATTCTTTTTCTGTTCACAAACTCAGCACATTTTCTATTTTTTTTTCAATAGAAAATTTTTAATAGAGACTATTTTATAGAGAAAATCAATAGAATTTTAAAAATTACTCGGCTGAAATATTTTCAACATAAATTTTTCGACATGAATTTCTCAATTTTTTTTTCCATTTTTTACTCATTAAAAAAGTGTAGTGAAAAAATTAGAAAATTAGAGCTGAGTAATGTCTATAGAAAATCGCAAAATATCAATATCAATAACAAATATCTATTCTATAGAAATCTTGGAAAATTTATGCTGGAAATATCTCAACAGAGTAATTTCAAAAATTCTATTGATTTTTTTCATAAAATACATTTTTCTGAACATTTTCTATTTTAAAAAACGAACAGAAAACCTTCTGAGTTGGTAATATCTCGTGATTTGTAATATCTTATCTCATGTAACTATTGATTTTTCCGACAGAATATTTCCTGTTAAACATTTCGGTTAAAAAAATGCAAAAGTATCTGCAGAATTTTTCAATAGAAGTCCCATACAAAAATCAATAGAATTTTCTAGCGAATTCCCCACGCTTTTCCATCAATATTTTCCTCACGTGTTCCCATACAATTTTGACGTATTTAACCTGAAAAGAAGTTCACGATCTGCAACAAGTTTTGCATACAAAAATAGCTTTCGTGGAATCCAGAGCGAAGTGATATTACGCCACTTTCGTGAAGTTGAGACACAATAGCTCTGAATGCGATGTTGTAGGATATATCCTAGTCCAACTTTGCTTACAGTGTTGCTCAATCTGTTATGCACGCATGTATCGAAATAGGGATCGTGTAACAAATAGTAAAATAAGACAATTGACCATTTGTACAAGTCATTTATTTTTCACTTCACTTAACTATGATTGATTGTAAAATCATTGCCTAACACTTAATATCCATGTTGAATCATTTAAGAGCTTTGTCATTATCATTTCGTCCGTCAATAATGATGAAGAAATTTGTTTGAAATCATCAAGGTATCGTTAGGATAATTATCTTATTTCATTTCGCAAACATCGAGAAAAAATCTTCAATATTTGAAACATATGTACTTGAGACAAGTAATTTTTCGTTTTTTTCGCCTAATTTTCCCAGGCATTGAAATTATTCTATAGAAAATATTCTACAGAAAAGTCACTAGTTATAGAAAGCTACAGAAAAGTCAATAGAAAAATCAATAATTCGATTTTTCTATACAACTTATTCTATTGAGATATTTACTACAGAATTTCCTCGGCTCAAATTTCCCAAGTTTTTTTGCTTGATTTTCTTGATGGAAAGAAAAAAACATGAAAAAACTTCAGCTGAAGAAATTCTATACAGAATATCTCAATGGAATAAATTGTATAGAAAAATCGAATTCTATTGTCTTTTTCTATCGAACTAGGCCCCCTGCTCGCTCCGCTCGCCAACCCCCATATGCTCCCCATCATTCTTATTCTGACCCTCGTGATTCTCATTCTGGGCCACACTATACCCCTCATGACCCTTAATATGACCCATATGACCCTTAACATGATCCTTATTCTAACCCTTGCGACCCTTAATTTAACCCCCGTGACCCTTATTCTGACCCTCATGACCTTGATTCTGTACCTCGTCGCCCTTATTGAGACCCTCGTGACCATTATTTTGACCCTCATAACCCTTAATACCACATGACCCTTAATCTGACCCTCACGACCCTTATTCCGACCCTTGTGACCCTTATTCTGGCCCTTACTACCCTTATTCTGATCCTTATGACCCTTATTCTGACCCTCACGATCCTTACTCTGACCCTCATGACCCTTATGACCCTTAATTGTGGAGTCTTAAATTCGAGTACCGTATTTTTATCACCAGAAGTCGATTTGGATTTTTATAATGTAGAGAGACATTTTCTATTAAACATTTAAACAGAATCAACCAAAAACTAAAAGCAAAATTCATCAAAAATCCAATAGAATTGTCTGGCGAATTTGCTGGGTTATTCTATTAAATTTTCTCGTGCGTGACATATGAGGAAATTTTTCTCTCAGTGAACATAAGTCTCCACTAATCATTGAATAGATGTTCATTATGAAGAGTCGAACAACTTGACCGTTATCCAACAGTGTGTTGCATAGGTGGAGCCGAAAAGAATGAAAGATGAGATAGGGAAATCGCCTCTCCCTGGTTATGAACAGGAAACTTCGCGTGGGTGAGTTAAATAGTTTCCATACGCCCATCTGGTTACGTTACCCACGAACACCCTATTGTATAAGCGTATCTTTCGCTGGTGTCCCTGATAGTACTAAAGGACAAACATAATGTGTGTGCATTAATAGCATTAGGACATTGGTCTAGGGGATTATCGTCCTCCGGTAACTGAAGGCTATATCCAGATTCATATGATTATGCACATGCGTTGATATTATTAGATGGTTAGACAACTGGACCAAGGGGGTAAGTGATTATTTCCATTATCCTGGATTCCACAATGCAACATTTAGAATATCCGTGAACTTTCAGAATTTTATCCTGTATTTATGTCCGCGTAACCAGACCGATAGGTAGACACCGACCAAAAGATAGACGATTCCAACTTTTTTTTAGTATTCTGTAAAAAATATAATAGAAATTGTACTACAAATTTCCATTTTTGATAATAAAACTAATCTATAATAATACGAGGATTTTCTTAATTTTTATTGATGAACATTTTGAAGGTAAAAAAAAAAATTCTCGCGAGGTATAGTATTGGCCCTCAGTGGCGGTGTGAGTAGTTAGACAACAGCCACGCAATGTTGATGGAACAATGTGAAAAAAACAGTCATCAGGACAAATAAACACGGTATCTGTTCGATTATTATTATCGAAAAGGATCATTGTTCATCTTTAAACATGCAGAAGGATGAATTTGTGTGAATAACCATTAAATATGAGCGCCTATCGAATGGTAACCCACCGTCCATCTTCTGGTCAGTCGTCTATCTATTGGGTGTTTGGGCTGTATCCCACTTTTTCGTCATTTTATCATTTATTCCTCCATTGCTTCCACTTCAAATCATGATTTTCCGATAATACAGATATTTTTTCAGGTATAGAACCCATCGTTGGCGTATTTAGGTGATTTATCAATTTTTGATCTCTTGACGGACGCCAAATCATCCTTAACCGTCTATCTATTGGTCTGGTTACCCTACGCACAGAAAAACCGGGCTCAACTCTGGACACAGACTTACTTCCAACACTGAGAGAAAAATCTGAAGTTCGATTTACAATAAGAAAATAGTTGAGGCATTTTGGTGAACGATACGATTTTTTTTTGTATGCGGCACATAACATTATAGTAACTTTACAAGTGTAATTTTTGCAAATCAAAATGTTGTTGAACTAACCAAAGTTCAAAAGTAACCACGACAAATCTATCGTGAGGAGAACTATAAAATAGTTGCAATGACTACATTCCATTGTAGTAATTACTTCTCCGGTCATAGTTACCGTAACCCTTGAAAAATTGTTGAGGAGTTTTTGACTATAATTCGAAGGTGATGGAATATAGTCAGAAAAATTATATTTTTCTCTCAGTGAAGGGATGTCAATTGGATTGTTGAAAAAGTTGTAAATGTGCAGAGTTGATCCCAGAGTTGTTATCAGATTGTTCAAATGACTATTGCTGCCTCCCCTAGATGGCCTGTTAAACCTAGAATCACTTTGACAATGTTATAATTCCTCTTCCCCGCCTTCCATTTATTTAATAACATTTGCAACTAATTCAATAATCGAATTGGCAACTCTGGGATCAAGATTGTGTGTGAACCATCAGGGTATTGCAGTAAACTTTAGTCAATGTCTCTGTGACACCAAAGAATGATAGGGGAGGGTAGGGTACCACGGACCGGGAAAAATCATAAAATTATCAATTTTCTGTCAGTGGTCCGTTTTGCCCTACCCTCCCCTATGCCACAATATTCAGAGTTTATCACTATTCAATTCTGGTGATAAAGCCGTCACATAATGTCATAAATTTTATATTCTTCAAATAATTAACAATAAAGTCACCGTTCCTCCTATTTATATTTTTATTCAGGCAGAAAATTCGAAGAGATAATAATACGGTAAATATAAATGGAACTGTCCTTTCAGAATAGATAATCCGCAGATCGGCATCAATCACTACTTTAGTACAATAATTAAGTTTACAATAATTAAGTTTTTATTACTTATCTTCATGGGAATTTCAAAAAATAATATAATAATTAGTAATTTCAAATGTCTTAATTATTGGTTAATAAAATAATTCGGAATTTGAATATTAAATTGATGGTTAATTCAACAATCAAAAAATTGGTGAGTAATATTAACAATTGACTTATTCAAAATTGAATAAAAATTTATTTTATCCTAATTAAAAATGATGATTATGTCTATGTCTGAGATAATGCCAAAAAATTGTCCTCTCCAATGCCGGAAGAGACTAAACCCATCAAGTCTTCATCATCTATCTAAAGAAGTTGCGTAAAAACGTGTGCAATCTCCCGCCATTGTGACCCTTGTCGGAAAAATGAATTAGTTTCACAGCTGTGATGACCCATCAATCTTTCCTCGTGTCCTTCTGGCGAAGGGAGTGGTGGTCACCAGAATACTTCCTGCTTTTCGTATGTCACTCTGAACGAGTCCTTTGTGTCCGTGGAAAGAAGATATACACCTGACATATACGTCGATAGTTGCTGTGGTCTCCAATATAATGATATCACATGAGAGCGTACAGTAAATAGCATCAACTTACCAGCGCGATGTCGTATTACCATCTACGGTAGTGAAAAACGCCTAAGGGTAGCCTTGACAGTGCCCTCTCGCTGTGATATATACGCGTTGGATTCATGGTCGCATTGGACTCGATGAAATCGAAGGTATAATAAGTGCATCAATTAATCAATGTGAGAATGAATGCCGAAATCATTTCGAGCATTGACAACTGAATTAATTGGGTATTAACATGTCCATGGAAAAAATATATGACGAAATACATAAATAACCCTAGCCAGGGAGCCTATTCTTCGTACGATTTCAATTATTGAAATCGTACGTTCGACTTCATGCAACCTACCGCAATCGAACGCACTATTTTAACTCGAGAATAGACTCCCTAGGCACCATACGCGACCCTGCGACTTTGGTCACCTTCGCGGGTATTCGCCGACGTGTTATTTAGGCTTCAGCGTTGCCGAATTCACTCTACACTGCCCTGGCGCGTTTAGCGAGTTTCCGGCAACGTTGCGTAATAGGCGGTTTTATTCAACACTCCGTTGTTTGCGCTATGCGTGCCGCGCCGCACTTTTTCCGATTTTGGTTTAAATTACACTGCAGTAAAGCCTCAGAAAAATTTGAAGAAAATTGACATCTCATTTTGAAGTATCTAGAAGCCTTGGGGTTTTTCAGGTCCCGTGATACGAAAAATACTATTTTGACTCGTGGGAGGTGTATAGCACTCGCTGAAGGCGAACGGGATTCTGGTAACATTTCACTCTACGCACAAGTGATGAAAACCTTTTTTTAACACTTCAGCATCGATAAAAACTAAATCAATTAAACGAATATTATTCTTCGAACCTTCAACCCTCCAATCCCATTTTCTTTCCTCTTCATCATGTTCATTGTTTACAAGAAAAACGGCATCGTAAAACCTGTCCAAAAACCAGGTGAATAAATGTTAAAAATATTTTTACGGAAAAGCTTCTGATTTTCCCGCAGAAATCGACAGTCAAATCTAATAAAATCTTCTCGCAAATACCCTAGATTTTCCTCTAAGCCCCAACCGAGAATAAAGGGTTGAAGTCAACTCCACCAACTTAAACAATTTTTATCTCCAATGTCTCGCGTACGTGCATAAAATGATAAAACAGGTCGAAGGCCTCGGCGAAGTGAAAATACAAGAGTGGCAAAAGTGAGCCTGTCCCCCACACGAGCATCGACCGTTCGAGTCCTTGGTAAAGCTTCGCAATATTGAATGAAGAAGTGGAGATAGTTTCCAAAGTTCTCCCAGGAAGTTTTGACAATCGTTGGGAGGTCACTCGCCTTCAGCCGCCGTGGGGGTGACAGAAACTGAATAAAAGCGAGTGAAATCGTAGTGAATTTATCATTCGATCTCTACTCGTCAAGTAAGAAAGGAGTAAAAATCACTTTAACCATGTACAAGTTGGTCGTTCTGTTCGCTCTGGTTGCCTGCTCCATGGCAGCTCCAGCACCGAAACCCGGTTACGTCGCTGCTGCACCACTTGTGGCGTCTCCAGCTGTGGCCGTTGCCCATCACGTTCCTGTTGCCACCAGCTACGCCAACACCTACAAGGTCTCCTACAACAGCCCGCTTGTCGCCTCGTCCTACGTCGCTGCACCTGCTGTGGCCTATGCAGCACCCGCTGTCCACGCTCCAGTCGTTGCTGCTCATCATGCGTACGCTCCAGCACTCGCCTACGCAGCCCACCCAGCACCATTTGTTGCCCACTACTGAATCGTCTAGAGGTGAAATTAACTAGTCTACACGAAAACTTGGACATCGCGAAATCATTGCTTTGATCAATTCCCCTAGTTTTCTTGATCTTTTTTGATTGATGAAATAGGACTGTTAATTAAGAGCAATGTTGGCTGAAGGCCCTCGGACGATGGCCAGCTGCAAGTTCTTACGGGAACTTGCAACAAATGTCGTTGAAAATAAAATAAATAAACCGCAATTTCTAATCTACATCTTGTTAATTTTATGAATTTTGGAAATCTTCACATCCCTTCGTTTGATTTGTTACAATTATATTGAATATTCATCGATGTTAAAAGACTCGTGGGTTTAATTAATTAAGAGCGTATTAAAAAGATGAAAGTGGGATGAATGGGAGAAGAATCGTTGACATTGGAATGAATTAAAGAATGAATGGTAAGATATGAAAGATACGAACTTCAGAGGAGAGGTTTGAGGGAGCTAATCTACATGAAAACGTGGAAATCGCGAAATCATTGCTTTGATCAATTCTTCTGGTTTTCTTGATTTTTTTTTGATTGATGCAATAGCCAGCTGCAAGTTCTTACGGGAACTCACAACAAATGTCGTTGAAAATAAAATAAATAAAGAGCAATTTCTAATCTACATCTTGTGAATTGTATGAATTTTTGAAATCCTTATATTCCTCTGTGCGATTTATTATAATTACATTGAACATTCGTTGATGTTAGAAGACTCATGGGTTTAATTAATCAAGAGTTTATTAGAAAGATGAAAGTGGGATACATGGGAAAAGAATCGTTGACATTGGAATAAATTAAAGAATGAATGGTAACATATGAAAGATACGAACTTCAGAGGAAAGGTTTGAAGGAACTAGTCTACATATGTCGGGCTTTTCTTGATCATTTTTGATTGATGAAATAGAACTATTAATTAAGAGCAATGTTGGCTGAGGCCACTCGGACGATGGCCAGCTGCAAGTTATTACGGGAACTCGCAACAAATTTATTTGAAAATATAATAAATAAAGAGCAATTTCTAGGGTAAGTGCATTTTTTTTTCAATTTTTCTACTGTTTGAATCGAAAATTCTCTTAAACGCGGTCAAATTTTTTAACTCCCCTGAAAAAATTCCACTTTTGCACTTATCCTAGTTTACCCCACTTCGCTACAGACTTCGTTGTTAAAAAACCAAAGAAAGTGAATATTCCCCTGAAATTCATGCAAAAGCGTGTAAATGCAAACGAACCCCGTGCACTATCAGACGATGCTTACGTCTCATCCTGTACACCAGATGCAGCATGAAAACCCCATTAGCCTTGAAGAGTCTCCCATGCGAGGAAGAAAAAAGATCAAATGGAGTGAATGAAGCATAAAGAGGCTCAAACAGGTTGAGGGTAATAGCCTACATAGTTGCCAGACAAGGTGGCTAACAACGAAGGGTGATTCGAGTCGTATAAAAGTGATCGAGAAATCACAGTGGAGTATCACTTCGTATTCAGTACCCGAAGAGAAGAACTTCCCAAAACTCATCATGTTCAAGTTGACTGTCTTCTTGGCGCTCATTGCTGTTGCCCTGGCCGCACCGAAACCAGAACCCAAGCCGGGCTTTCTCGCAGCCCCACTGATATCAGCAGCACCGCTGGCCACGAGTTACGCTAACAGTTATCACCTATCGTACAAGGCTCCGCTGATTGCATCCGCTCCACTCATTGCACCAGCCCCAGCGATCGCATACGCAGCCCCCATTGCTGTTCTGTAAATCATCATGGCGTGCGGGCCAGAGTCATCGGGGTGAAGCATTCATACGTTTGGAAGATCATTCAAATTCATTTTGCCATATCATTCATATCAAATTCATTCAAATAAATTCATGCTCTCATTTCAATTTTACAATCGTTCCCCTGCCTTTCGATGTATTGTTAGAAATATCGATTTTGTTCTTGATGTTATGGATTTAAGAAATAAATTGAAGATTGCGCAAAGAAGCTGAAACAAGTTGGGAATAGTAGTTCACGTAGTCACTAGACAAGGTTTCGATCAACAAAGGGGGAATTAAGTCATATAAGAGGGAGGGAGAGTAACACGAGTAAGAAACCCCATCGCAGCAGCCCGGGACAAGATTTTTTTGTAGTGATTTTCAAGTTTTCGAGTTTGGGAAGTATGCAATACCAATTCGCAGACGATAAATCACACAGCAGCATCACTTCATCTTCAGGACACAAAGAGAAGAACTTTCTGAAATTCATCCTCATCTTCAAGTTGACCATCTTTTTGGCGCTCTTTGTTTTCGTTCTGACTGCATCATTTTCTCGCAAAAGGAATACTGCTTCGTATAAGTGAATATTTGAGGTTGAAGTATTAATCATACATTTGGGACAGCGTCGAGATTCTTATTTTGATATTAGATCCATACCAATTTTGCAATCGCTCTCCTGTCTTTCCTTGATGTTATGAATTTAAAAAATTCAATAAAGATAGCACAAAGAAGCTGAAACCGGTTGAAATCCTTATTTTTATATTAGATCCATATCGAATCCATATACATAAATTGATGTGCTCATTTCAATTTTGCAATTGCTCTCCCGTCTTTCCTTGATGTTATAAATTTAAGAAATACATTGAAGATTGAAGGACAAAAGAAGCTGAAACAGGTCGGGAATAATAGCTTACGTAGTCACTAGACAAAGTTTCGATCACCGAAGAGGAAATCGAGTCATATAAAATGGATGGAGGAAGCAAAACAGAACGATGAAAAATTCTAAAATTCATCTTCATGTTCAAGTTTATCATCTTTTTGGCGCTCATTGTTGTCCTCTCGGCTGCACCAAACCCGGAATCAACACTAGATTTCCCGCAGAAGGAAAACTGCTTCGTATTAATAAATACTTCAGGTTGTAGCATTCTAAATTTAGGACATCATTAAGACTCTTCTTTTGATACCAGATAGACATCAAATTCACACCAATAAATCCATGTCTTCCATTCCAATTTAAAAATCATTCTCCTTCCTCTCCATTTATCATTAAAAACATCTACTTTATTCTCTACATTATGAATTCGAGAATTTTTTTTCGTTTGGCCTCGGATGAACTTCAAAATTGCATCATCCAGCAAGAGGGCTTGTAAAATTAATCCATGATTAAACGTTCTCCGAAAGCCCAACTACGAGACCGATTTATCTACTGTCCATAAACCGCGCCCTGGTCACTTCTTCCTCACATAATTATTTCTCAATCGGGCATTGTAGAGTGAAAAAATTGCCTTGACAACCAATTCTCCTCACGACTTTTTACGTCCACCATCAGTCGTCATCAAGTATGCGCCGTTACCGATGCAATTTCTGCTTTCAATTGTACGTGATCAGCATGACTGATTTGTCCCAGTAAAGTATCCAACCATTAGAGGACGATTAGAGGATACCTGACACTGCACACACCCGCGCTCCAGTCATGGGCAAGTGGTGAAAGTGTTTTTCTCGCATTTTGTCGGGCGATAAAAATGTCCCTGGACTAGGGGCTGGACAAGGTCGACCTTCAACAAGCATTTCAAGTGAATTTCTAAAGACAGAGCGATGTAAAAACATGAGATTATCGTTTTTTTCTATCGTGCAAACTGTTTCAGGCGGTAGAACTTTTTCTTGATTTTTTTGCGGTTCGATGAATTGGTCGGTAATGACTCGCGATATTATTGGAGTGGTATAAATAGCGCTGGAGAATAAATTGGTAATTCATGCTGACGGAGGAGAGTCATGCACCTTGTCTCTATGCAACAGCCGGAGCTGTTACATCCACACAAAGAAGAAACTCGAACTATGAGGGAGTCTCGGTTTTTATGGTGGATGTTCTCAAAATAAGAAAGTTTATGCAAAGTTGCAACAGAAATATTTCACGAATTGATTACCGAAAACTCATTTAATTAGAGTTTTAATATTGTGGACATGTCAAGGTTTTCGAGCTATGAACATTTGTTGGGATTATGGTAATAAATGAGAACAGTCTCTGATAATTTTTTGATGTAACTAGTGATGCCGTCGAAACTAGTCGAGAATTATTTTGAAGAGATCATCACGGTCTGGAAAAACATCGAAAGTTTTGGAATCGTCGCAATCTAGAAAGACATTGGATCGGTGCATCTCGTCACAATTCCGGGAGGATTTATCTTGCCTGGATCTCGAGATTTTCGGTTTTTTAAGTTCACCAGACGAGACGAGACAGATATCGAGACAAACATTTGAAAAACAGAAAATACTGAAACTCAGACGATGCACCGATCCAATGTGTTTCGAGATTACGACGATTCCTATACTTTCGATGTTTTTTAGACCATGATGATCTTTTCAAAATAATTTTCGTCTATTCTCGATGGCATCGCTAGATGTGACTAACTTTATTAAGGATGTACTACACCCTTTCAGCCAAAATTCACGTTTTTTTCATTTTTCTGGCAAATTGTTGAGCGGAAGGACTCGAAATAATATACCGATTTGCGTTTTATCATTATTGACTGACTCACGAAGTTTCATGATAGCGCAATCATTTCCCTGCATTTTTTCTAAAGTTCTGTCGAATTTCCAAAAAGTTTTAGAAAAAACGCAGGAAAATGATTCACGATCATGAAATTTCGTGAGCCATTAAGTAATGATAAAACGTAAAAACGGTATATTTTTTCAGGTCAGTTCGATCAACAATTTACCAGACAACTTCAAAAAACGGGAATTTTGGCAAAAAGGGTTTGTAATATATCCTTAATTGGAAGGCACGTCTTTACTCATTGATATTTTCCGAGAGACTGAGGATGACAGAAAAATTTTGATGACGAACTCAGGTCGAAAATGTAATACATAAAGAGTCATTCATCTCGCTCCTCCATTCATTCATTTTGTTTAGATTACAGTTATATATAAATAAATAATATGGATTATTTTTTTATAAATAAATAATCTATAATATAATCTATATTTAAAAATAGATTAAAGTTATGTATAAATAAAAGAATCTAAATACTCTAGCCCCAGTTGTTTCATGAGAGATAGCTCTTTGTCTTTCTACGTTACAACTATAAAATAATTCCAATAACATTTCATAGCTTACATCAAACATTTATCAGGAAGGTAAAGATATGGTGGCTTTTTATGCCGCACTACAATTTTGCAGACATTGACTTGACTCGTTTTACCACTTCAGGATTGAATTCCAGAGACAACATTCGTAATTAGAGAACTCCGCAATTCTCTATTTAAAAATGAGAATTCTCCTGCAGTTGAGGAAACTTCCGCTTAAGAATATGTATAAAATAAAAAAAGCATACTGTGGTCATTGTTTTTATTTAAATGCTTTTCATAATTTGTAGATGAAATTTAGCTCGCCCTTCCAGCCCTAGATTACCGCACATTTCACAATCATTTTAGTATTGAAACTTTGGAGGTCCGAAATTTTCCTTATGAAATCGTTTAGAAACATTTCTAAAATCTGGAAAAACTTTGATAGTCTACGTTTCCTGAAAAAAAATTTTAGAGTAATAAAAAAATGCAATTTTTTTCAGGTTTACGATATTTTTTCAAAAATAATACACAAAAAATTGATTTTCCGCTCTGAAAATGTATTTTTTTCAAAATTGTAGACAGGTTGCTTGTATTTTTTCAGAATTGAAAAAAACTAGTTTCGCGTTGCGTGGAAATGGATTCACTTTAACAGAAAAAGTATTTTTTTTAAATGAAGTTTAAATTACGCCCAATTTACTTGACAAAGTCAGAATTCCCAGCGTCGTCCGTATGAAACTGTGAAAGGCACTTGGATATCCTTAATCCAAACAAACAAAATCAGTTCAAGAAACGGAACTGTTACGACTGTTTTTGAGAAAAAAATTATTCAAATTCTCTCAAAATTCCTAATCTGTTAAAATCCATTCCTATTACCATCTTTCCTATCTTAATTGCAGCAGTTTATAATTCTATATTCATTTGATCTTTTTGTGAATAACTACTCACTCGGAACCGTCGCCCTCAGCCGTTAGCAAGTGCATAAAGAATTCTCAAAATGCGTCGAAAAATCCCATGTCTTCCGAATTATCCACCCGTCCAATTCCGTTCATCAACATTACGAAATTCGCCAATGTTCCCTGACAACTAGAGCCCAAAAATGTTCTGCTCATTTCAACTAATCGACCAACTACCATAAAAGCGCTGACACACACGCATCAATCAAACCAACATGAAGTAGTTTTTTTTCTGAACAGCCTGTCACCATATTTATCACAAAGTTGCCAAGAAATTCCTCGTTTGACACTACTATTTGTCCGTCAGATCAATTCATAATTAGGGGCATGTGGTAATCATATTTCGGGTGGAGGACTCGTGGACGATTATGAGATATTCCGAGAGAAAGCAATAGGAATTGGGCGTTGTGTTTCTATGTATAAATAGTGAAGACTGCAACCGAAGGTCCCTTCAGAAATGTACCAGGGGATATTGGTATATAAGACTTCTATTTCGGTCCAGAGATCAGTCAGAAGGTTCACAAGACCGTTACAGACACAACAATTCAATATGTTCAAATTGGTAAGATGTATAACTATCATCCACAATTGCAGTCTAAAGCTGACTACACTATAAAAACTAATATTTGAATTCTAGACGTTTTTGTAGACATTTTTCACATACTAGAGTCCACTTTTTTTTATTGTTATTTTACACTTCCCTCACTTTTCGAATTGCTCCTTGGGTAGCTTAATTTTCAACGCCAGTTTCACTGAGATTAAAGCTATTTATAGATTTACTTTGAATTTTCCAACTGCTAGAAGAGAAATCGATGTACTAAATGCCACAATTCGCTCCGCGCAAAAATCTTCCAGCTTTTGTGCATGTCTGCTAAATCGGTGTTAAGCTCTTATCGATCTCTTGGAGAATAAGTCAAGAAAATCGTTGTTGCACATTGCTAATGGTTTATATTGTTATCTCTTTTCTCTTTTTGAACTCTAGTTTTTCTTATTTTGTTCATCCAAATGTGAAATTTTTCTTTTTTCTTTTGCACATTGTATATACTTTGTATATTTCACCCCCCACTGCCATGGGGCTATGTATCCTATATGCAGTAATAAATAATAATAACAAATTGTTATTTTACATCGCTTCGACTCGGTTGAGTATATGGCGATGATGATCAAACCTTTAAATGGTTAGATCTCACCATTCTACCCGACCGGGATTCGAGACTGGAGCCCATTTTGTAGACATTTTTCAGACATCAAAAAATATCGAAATCGATCAAAGATGTCTTATTCTCAGACACCTCCATTTGAAAACAAAGTGCATCAGATCAATTGCGACGCAACTAGAATTTTCAAATAAATTAAAAAAAATAGAGGAGATGGGAGAGCTTTCCTGTGAGATTCGATTTTGAAAAGTCTTCGGGATAAAACCAAAATTCAAAGAGAATTAGAATTTAGAGAGAAAAAATCCCGCACCGCCCAGCCGGGATTCGAACCCAGGTCTCCCAGGTATGGGCTGGGCACCCTCCCAACTCCACTTCTCCCAAAAAATTTCGGAAAAAAGCATGGAAATGAATCACGTTGTAAGATAGAAGATTTGTTTCCTGTCTGATACAGTCTCTACGTCTGCAGAATGAACTGTTCAAATGTCTGAAAATGAACGTGTGGAATTTTTCAAAAGAAAAAAATGTTCAGGTCCTTTTCAGACACAACTTGTATCTGAAATTGTCAGAAATTCCGGCGAGATCTAGACATTTATGACGATTTAGACGTCCGTTCTCTGTCTGATGACTGGAAGTCAGATGGGGTTGAATCAATAATTCACACCAATCGTGAAGTTCATAATTTTTACGACTTCTTCTTCTTCTCCTAAGAGTTCTCCCGTGAATTATTCTCTTTTCGTTCATAGTTAGTTCAAAGGATTGTTTCTACCTTTGAAATTACGGCTTCAATAACTTTTCCGCTCATCCATATAAACTTTTTCAGGTGGTTCTCTCTGCGATTGTTGCAGTGGCAACAGCTCGCCCAGGGCTTCTCTCCTCTCCCCTTTACAGTGCACTTGTGGGAGAGAAGACAATTGAAAGTCACGGCAATTCGGTCGTTCACAGTGCAGTGCCCGTTGTCCACAGCTACGAAGCAGCCCCAGTAGTTTTGGCACATGAGCCACTCATCGCCGAGAAAACTGTCTCCAGTCACGGACACAGCATCGTGCACGAATCAGCCCCAGTGATTCACATCTACGAAGCAGCCCCAGTAGTTTTGGCGCATGAGCCACTCATCGTCGCGAAATCTGTCTCCAGCCACGACCACAGCATCGTGCACGAATCGCCTGTCCTGGCACATACAGTTCACATTGACGAATCCCACTGGTAGAGGATAATTATCCCTCCATTAGCTACCTCTTTGCATATTCACTGGATCTGCTAAACTCAAGTGTAATTGAAGCAATAATTCATGATTTTGGTTGGAAAAATATAGTTTCTCACTCTCTAATTCTCTATTTTGTTTTTGAGATGAATACGTCTGTTTTCATTATGGGGGGCGAGGGGCTAGTCACTTAGGAAATCACTGGACCACTCGACTGGAAATCAAGGAAGAAATCACCAGAAATCAATGGAAGTCATTGAAAATCAAGTGATTTTCAAGTAATCAAGTATTTTTTTTGGAAATCATTGGAAATCAAGTGACTTCCATTTTCGGTAGTGATTTCTAAAGATTTCACGACATCATCAGAAATCAATAGAAACCATAAAGAAATCAAGTGATTTCCGAAATCATTAGAAATCATCGATAAGTGTAAAATCGAAATTGATTTTGCAGTTTCAACTCTACAATTTTTGTTATCGTATCGTTTGGAGGCGTCATAAGTCGGGAAGTTTCTGTAAGATTTTACTTCTTCGGGAAAAATTACGTGAAAATTTCGTATTTTGTTCGGTGATGAACCTGAGAATTCACAGAACGTCTCAGATTTCTTCTCTTCCATTCCCATAAAAATTGCCGGAAAACGATTTCCCATCGCGGATTACGTGAATTGTTCCTTAATTTTTACTGAATATTTCTCTCCGTGCCGAGGGACTTGTGAAGGGAAATTTAAGTTTTCGATTTTTTGTGTCCGTTCCTACATATTTCAGTTTTTCTTTCAGCTGAGAAATCTCAAATATATTGAAAATTTCTATCGAAAAAAAGGAACCACGTCAAAATCCAATAAAATTTTGTTTCGAACTTGCTATTTCATCGTTGAAATTATTTCGAACGTGTATTATTTCAGACACGTTTCGTTAATAAACTTGAAGACCTCGGATCGTATCTGCACCCATAAACATCTCAAGAAAATTGAAAGGGGTAAAAATTTATCTCCAATTACCATAAAAATATCAATCGTGGAGTGAGGATTTGCCGGTCATGCAATCGAGGTAAACGCCGGGGAGAATCGGAGAATGAGAGGAGAATCAGAAACCTCTGCACACACTTCTCCCACCCCTCAACGTCGACCTCGCGCACCTCGAAATATCCCGATTACAAGCGACTTAGTCGTCTCCGCGCTTCCCACAAAGGCAAAAGACGCATTTTTCCATTCATATAATGGGGTCTTAATTACTGCGGCTACCCATTGTTTGATTGAGTAACTACTGATTGAGTACTGCTATTAACATTTTTCCACTCAACTCCAACGGAATATTCATAGAAATCTCAACTCAAATGATGATTACCTTCCCATAATTATAGGCATAATTGATTGGCCATAATTTTCTGAATTAACGCGGATCATAAAACTCGTTGAGGTTGCAGGTGTTCGAGTACTAGTTGCTCGGGATGAACAAAAATACAGAAATCAAAAATAAATGAGTGAAAAAGATGAAAAATCGTTAACGAGGCATACACATAAATGTTGAAGGGAAGTTTTTATCTTGCATATAAGTACGGGAAGATTACTGACGAGTTGCCGCCGTTTGCTCGGCCTCCGAGAACCTGTCCTATCGGCAATTTTTGTCGTAGGTCCGGGCACGCCCGCTTCTCCCCACAGCCCCAGAGTTCCACGTTGTGAACTCGGTCTTTCGCTTTGATCAGAAATGATACGGGAATGGGCGGAAAAATTCAACGGATCGGAGTTATCTTCAGGCATGTTGGGGCAGGTTAATGCCGTTTGATTGAGGGTAACAGGAATTATCTGGAGGATACATTTGAGTGAGTGCTGGATAATTATCTCTGCAAAAAGGTCATTCATCTTCGTCAGCAATTCATTAAGGGCTCTTTTTCTGTTGAGGATTTTTTTGAGTGTAGAACTGCGCGGAACGAATTGAACGGATTCCAATCGTTTTTGTTTCCACTTGTTTTTTTTTTTTTAAATTGAAGGACTCGGCTTGTTCATCATATTTCACGTTTTTTATGTGACAATTCACGACGGCCCTATCTTTGGAAAATCCCGATGAGATTCTGAGGCCGTTGTAATCTTTCATGTTGAATTATGATGGACGGTAATTGGCCTAAGCGGTCGTCAGCACGTCGAGGATAATTAAATAATTAAAAAGATAAGAAGAATTCTTGTCAATGACCCAACGTTTCGGCTTCAGAAAAGTCCTTATCAGGAGTTTCTCTATTCTTCTGATAAACTGAGCAAATAAATAAAAACTGCAAATTACAGTTATGATGTTGAAAAAACAGCGGTCTAAAATCATATGTGAAGATTTAAATAATTACGTCCGTCAATGTTGATACGGACGTATTAATCAGAAGTACATCATTAAAAATAATAATACATGTCAAGTTGTATTATTATTCATTATTTATTATTATTATTATTTATTATTATTTATTTGTGCATATAGGATCCATAGCCTCATTGCAGGAAGGGAGTAATACACAAATCATGTACAATATTTATATGTATAAATGCATTTTTACATTTGTCATCGTAAAATGAAGAAGAAATTGCCAAGAAAAAGATCGAGACAGATGCTCTATCATGGACAGAAACTAATAAATAAATAGATAGATAACCCTGATCATCAATTATTTCAATCACTGAAAATTGATAATAAATTCCTAAAAATTAGAGACAGGCACCTAAAAATCTGTGACCGTTACCGGAAAATGAGTGACGATGTCACTGGAAATTAATGATAATGTCACACAAAATTGGGGATGGATCCTTAAAAACCAGTGACACATAGCTGAAAATCAATACTTTTCCTTCTCTGTGAACAGTTCATAAAAGTTGAATTTTCCAATTTATGCTATTTTATTTTACTTCATTTTCTTTCCATGTCAGTCTTTACAGTGAGATTAATTTTATTTTATCCACTCTTATTCTTACCATATATATTTTTATCCTTAATTCAGCTAAAGATCAATCAAAAGTATTTTTTTGTGACCAAAACAATCACAAAACAAAAGTCATTCGAAATCTCATTGGGGTAATAGAAAAATCTCTCCATGTAATTCTGAAAATTTTTGAAATCTATTTTTCCCCTCATATGGTAGAAGGATATCGGAGTCTAATCATTATTATAACAAGGAAATGAAAAAACAATCAGAAAGTGATAATCGGCTAGAATTTTTTTTTTCTTTTATGTCTTCGAATCATTTTTTTTCTTCAAGTATTAGAGGGATATCAATATTTCAGAAAAAAAGTTCAAGAAATGAAAAAGAAGTGGGCGAAAAGTTTTAAAATTATTTTTTTTTCGAATAATGAATGAATGCTCATAAATCCGATTTCTATCCTCGTTTTTTGATAGAGTGAATAGAATTACCAACTAATAAAAAAAAAGAAAAGAATTACCTACATGGCAATGCATTGCAAAAATTACAAATTGGAGACTAAAAATTGTATCCGATTATTATTATGTAATTAAACGAGTTATTAACACTTCAAAAGAAGTCGAAAATGTTCATTTTACCCCATGTACCCCTGTAAACTACAGTTTAAACCGAAACCGAGAACTGTAATTACACTCGTTAACGTGCAAAAACGCTGTTTATGCACGGAGTGCACACGAAGACTGCGTCAAATGTAATTTTACACACGGCATGATTAAATATAAATATTCTTGAATAACCTTGATTATTTTTCCCAATCGAATTTCGACCAATCAGAGCGCAGTATTTGAGGCTACCCGACAGTTTTATGTCGGATATTTCCTCCTAGTTTTTGAATATTTTGCAATAGTTCTTCATTTTTTTTATCTGAATATTTCGCAGTAGCTCTTCATTTTTCCGGCTCATTTCAGATAGAATCTTATATTTGACAGTCTAATATGTCTAATATGTTAATAGAAATCCGGCTATTCTATTAACATAATTTGTTCAAATCTTCCCCATTCACCTCCTGATGTTGTCCACTGCATTCTGTTTGGCCAAAATCCGATTGGGAAAAATAATCCGACAAATACCCCTCGAGATTCAAAATTAATCGGGTATTTCCCACAAGCTCCCTTACAAACAAACCATCGTGCCAAGCTTTGCAGAAAAATTCCTCGCACAAGCGCTCGGGAATTTTTAACCTACAAAGCTGAATACTTACTTTCATTTGTTTGCAATGAAGCTATCGGGAAATACCCGATAATTTTGGAGCTCTTGGGGTATTACTACACTGAGAAGAAAAATTTCTAAGAAATAGAAATTCAACTAAACCAAAATTGGATTGTATGCAATCGATTTTGTTATACTATAGTATATTTTGTTTATTCTATCGAATTTAGAAAATACATGTTTTTGCGACAAAATCGATTTCATACAATTCAATTTTAGTTTAGTTCAAACGCTTCGGATTTGGTGCAAATAATTTATTTTTCACAATTGCAATGGAAAAATAATCAGTCCAAATGATGAAGAATTGCGTTTGTCGTAAACAAGGAACTGCTCACCGCGAAAGTCTCGCGTCAATAAGTATTCAACAATATGTTCCTCATAGACCAAATGAATATTTTATTGCATCTATGAATTCTGCTGTCAATCGAACAGATATTCTTTTGCGGGATACCGTGACGCGGATAAATTAGATAATTCCATGCTTTATTCGAAGAAGATATCTGATAATACAGACATTGATTTGTATGTACTGAAAAGTAGATAGTAACAAAAAAAAAGTTTAGATAAATGATCTCATTCTTTTTCAATCGAAAACATTAAAACTAAATCAATATTTGTGTCTTACAATAGCATTTTCTTTTGCGACTATTCAATCGATGAACGATTTGGATCAATCATAGAATTTCTATTTCTTAAAATTTTTTTTTCTCAGTGTACTGACAAAATCCACGGGTCTAAAGAAAAGTTCTCTTCTTTCTCCCCATAGAATTCATCCATCTGCGATTTTATTATATTTCATCGCCTCTTCCTCTTCACTTTCGTCGTCACTGATCTGGATCTCAACC